ATATATATATATATATATATATATATATATATATATATATATATATATATATATATATATATATATATATATATATATATATATATATATATATATATATATATATATATATATATATATATATATATATATATATATATATATATATATATATATATATATATATATATATATATATATATATATATATATATATATATATATATATATATATATATATATATATATATATATATATATATATATATATATATATATATATATATATATATATATATATATATATATATATATATATATATATATATATATATATATATATATATATATATATATATATATATATATATATATATATATATATATATATATATATATATATATATATATATATATATATATATATATATATATATATATATATATATATATATATATATATATATATATATATATATATATTTTTTTTTTTTATCACGAGGAACACATTATATAATGTTTGTTGTATTTTCTGCAATGAAATAAACGTCAAAGTAAATTTAGAAGCACTACTTTCTGTTTTTATTTGTGTTTTGGGGTTGTACTTTTTTGACATTTAGGAATAAATAAAACTAAATAAATGGAGCAACACAGCAGATCTCCATATGCATCAGACCCCAGCAATCTGTTAGCAGGAGTAAAGCGTGTTTCTTTCTTCATAGAGACGTGTTAGTGTGTAAGTGGTGTTACAGATGGACTTTCATGCCCGGTGGCCAAATAAAGGCTCAATAAAGCTGATCATTGTTCCGTTCTGTTCTCCGCCGCGTATGTTTTTTGATTAGCTGTTGTGAACGCTGATGTGCTGATTTATGCGTCAGGTTTGTCAGAATGCTCAGTCCTCCTTCACATCACGCGGGTGTTGGTCAAGTTATTATCCGATCGCACCTCAGAAGGGCCTCATTATAAGAGTCTCCTTCATGCCAATTCCTGCATTTGCTCCAAATGGTATTTTTCCCAGTGCAAAGAGCGGAGGTGCTAAAACTAGAGCGCCAGTGACATCCTTATGTAAGATACACCATCTGATCTGTGGAGCTGAAAGAGTGTGTGTGTGTGCGCATGTGTGTCTCTATGTTGAGTGTGTCTGTTTTTGTGTGCGCATGCACGTGTGTGTGAGCAATTGTCTGCGTCACAATGTTTTGTCCAATACACACAAACAGTTGAAAGCAGAAGTTTAGATACACTGTATAAAAAGGCAACTAGCCATTTAAAGGACGTCAGACGTTAATTTAAGCAAACTTTTCCTCCTTTAGGTAAGTGAGGATGATCACATGTTTCTGTTCTGCTTAATAGCAGAATAATGAGAGAGATATTGTTTGAGAAATTGTTCTAACTCTTCTTGAAAAGGGAGGGATGGGAAGTCTCGGAAGAATGTGAAAGTGAACAGCGGACGGCGGTTAAGGAGGGGGATCAGTAAAATGAAGTGCCGGATCAGATTTCGGTGCCGAATCCGGATCAGGCATGTTCCTGCACAAATTAAGCCTGATACTTTATGACTACTAGTATCTACTAAAAGAACCAGTGTCTAATGAGAAAGCACTAGTATATAAGCACTAGTATCTAAAGAACAGGCACTAGTATCCTTAAAATAAGCACTAGTAACATTAAAATAGATACGAGTACGAGTTAAACTGTAGATTAAATGTCGAAATGGCTGGCCATATAATCCTACACATAACCTAAAGTCAACTACTACCTTACTAACTATTGATAAACCTTCACAGCCTTGGTTAATGGTTTGTTAATATCGTGAACTGTGACTTAAAATAAAGTGTGACCCAGTTGACAAATGCATGTACAGGTATATTACTACATACAATACTGTGTGTACACCTATACTATATGTGCATTGACGTGTAAAATTAGTATGTTGTTAAATAAATAAGTGCATGTATGTAAAAATATAGTGTGCCACAATTATCATTAAGTGTTCATGAGATGCATCGAGAATCTGTTCCTGTGTGTGATGCTCATGGTTCAATGTGTTGCTGTTATTATTAACATTAGTCTATAGTCTGACCACTTTCCTCTACAGTCGTGGCCAGATCGTCTTCTGGAATGGTTTGCGGGGTGACATTTGTTGAAGCTGAATCATAGGAAGCGAAGGGGGTTTGATAGCGGAGAGGACTGGCGGAGCTGAAGGATGTGAACACCTGCCAGCAGCTCAGTTCCCACACACAGTCATCAATATAAGGCCAGCTCCAGTCTGAGTCACTGCAGTCAGCGTTCAAACACTCAGACTGCTGCTCAGAGCGCAAGAAAACCCTGCAAGAGAGACGCTACGCATTTAAAACGCCTATCTATGATTATGAGAGGTCATATTTTGCTTTTGGGAGTCCTCGGCAACTCCTGACAAGCATTCAGGGTCAAAAACACTTCATTTTGACCTAATTATTACAATGACTACCATATAATGTGTGCAGCGATTAGAGGTGCAGAATATATCGAAACATTAATATTAGCATAGTGGAATATGAACAAGTAAAATAATACATAAAATACACACACACACACACACACACACACACAAACACAAACACACTGACACACACATAAAACATACACAGTCACAAACACACACATATACATATATATACATACAAAGACACATACATATGTCACAGACATACACACACACACACACACACACTCATATAAACACACTGACACACACATAAAACACACACAGTCACAAACACACACACACACACACACACACACACACACACACACACACACATATATATATACACAGACATACACACACACAATCTCAAACAGACAGACACATACACAAACAAACACAGTGGTATTGCACTGTGGCCTCACAGCAAGAAGGTCGCTGGTTCGAGTCTCGGGTGGGTCAGTTGGTGTTTCAGTGTGGAGTTTGCATGTTCTCACCGTGTTGGCGTGGGTTTCCTCCGGGTGCACCGGTTTTCCCCTCAGTCCAAACACATGCGCTATAGGGGAACTCATGAACTAAGTTGGCCGTAGTGTATGAATGTGTCAGTATGGGTGTTTTCCAGTACTGGGTTGCAGCTGGATGGGCATTCGCTGTGTAAAACATATGCTGGAATAGCTGACGGTTCATTTTGCAGTGGCAAACCCTGATGAATAAGAGACTAAGCTAAAAATCAGGAATTCAGACGTCACTGCTAATAACTGATGCTAAAAACTAGCATTAGCAATATGGGTATTTAAAATTTACATTTATATATTAACAATTTTTCATAATTTTATGTTTTTATTATGCTTTTATTATACAGCAGAGAATATAAATATTGAACACGTCACCATTTTCTCAGAGAACATATTTCTAAAGGTGCTGTTGACTTTAAATTTTCCTAGGATGTTGGTAACAACCAAATAAATCCAAACATGTAAAGAAAACAAATCTAATTAGTTCACAAATGAGGTTCTGTGTAATAAACTGAAATGACGGAGGGAAAAAGTGTTGAACACATGAAGAAAGGGAGGTGTAGTTCAGCAGTGAGAGCCCAGACAGCAGCTGAAATCTGTCAGTAGTTCTTCAGCAAGCCTCTGCCCCTCCTCAGTGTAAATCAATATCAGCTGCTTCAGTCCAACATCTACATTCAACCCAAGCTCATTCTGGAAACGTAGCCCCGCGGACGTTTCTGGAGACCGGGATTTACGTGGCCGGAGGTACATATGGCCGCGTTTAGTTTTTCTCGAGCAAACGCTGCGGGGCGGCCGCCCGGTCAATCGTTCAGTCGTTCAGCCAGCCAGTCGGACGGACGGTTGCTCCACATTGGCCTCCGGCGGCTTTTCACACGAGAACAGCGCGGGCGCGAACGGCGCGCACTCCCGAGAGGCGTCCGAGATGCGAAAAAGCACGCACAGCGGCCTCTCGCGGATCCACAAAAACTGCTCGAATACGTACCTCCCAGGACGTATTTCGCGGTCTGTAGAAACGTCCGCGGGGCAACGTTTCCACAATGAGCCCGGGTTGTCTACATTAGCAGGAGGATAAAGATGAAACCATTTCAGCAAGACAATGATCCAAAACACAGCCAAGGAGACTCTCAGGTGCTTTCAGAGAAAGAAAATCAAGCTGTAGAATGGCCCAGCCAATCACCTGACCCCAATCCGATAGAGAATGCAGAATAAAGCTCAGATTTAATAGACGAGACCCACAGAAGCATCAAGATTTACACACTCTGTTGAAGACTGTGAGAAACTCACACCTGAGCAATGCATGAGTCCTCATTCTCCATATGAGAGGCGTCTTTAAGCTGACAGCACCAAACAAGCCTTTTATAAAGTATTAAACACATTTCAGTAGCGCAGCTCTTTCTCCTTCTGTGATTGCGTTATTACACACAGCTCATGTCTCAGATTTGTTTTTGTTTGGTTTTATTTTTATGCTTGTATTGTTTGGGTTTTTACCAAAATCTGCCTCCTTTCCACATCAACATCTCCTCTAGAAATATTATTAATTAAGTAAATCTAACAGACAGGTGAATCGCTGATCAGTGGCTTAATGAATTACTATTGGTCAACTAAGGAAACCCTTAGTCCAGGACAGTCCTAATACAAATAACATTTGTATAAATGGAAGGTTTAGTAAGCTCTCCTCTTCACTTTCGCACTGTCCATGACTCAACAATCGCATGCATTTCTTACCCTGTGTTTGTCTCACTGTTTGCAATTGCAATACTGTAAAATGCATATAAATATGTGCACTGAAAGCTTCATAGCCAAGAAAAATTCCCTTTAAGTTCCTGATGTACACCATAAAAGCACCATTGCCTGAGGATGTTTTTTGCAGATGACAATGTGTAATTTAACATTGAATATTTTTATAAGATGTGCTATTATATGTCTCAAAATATACCTTTATTATTGTGAATTATACCATGCAGGAAATGTCTCTTCTTGGGTGGAAGCTTTCAAAAGCATAACAGGAGGCCTTTGACTGATCTATTATTGTAAAAGGAGAGTAAGTCCTCACCACTCCAGGAAAGATCTTCTTGAGTCTGTCCACGGCGGCGAGCGCTTTAGACTTTCCTCACTCAGACAGTCTTCAAACTCGTAGAGCGGCTGCCGCACCGGGTTTGAGTACGAGATCTTTGCGTTGTCCACAAACGTGATGTGCCGCACACCCCAGCCCTAAAACAAACACACACACACACACACACACACACACACACATACACATACACACACACACACACACACACACACACACACACACACACACACACACACACACACACACACACACACACACACACACACACACACACACACACACACACACACACACACCAAATAAGCCTTTAAATTACTTTAAGGGCGACGCAGTGGCGCAGTTGGTAGTGCTGTCGCCTCACAGCAAGAAGGTCGCTGGTTCGAGCCTCGGCTCAGTTGGCGTTTCTGTGTGGAGTTTGCATGTTCTCCCTGCATTCACATGGGTTTCCTCAAGGTGCTCCGGTTTCCCCCACAGTCCAAAGACATGCGGTGCAGGTGAATTGGGTAGGCTAAATTGTCCTTAGTGTATGTGTGTGTGAATGTGTATGTGGATGTTTCTCAGAGATGAGTTGCGGCTGGAAGGGCATCCGCTTGCTGGATAAGTTGGCGGTTCATTCCGCTGTGGCAACCTCGGATTAATAAAGGGACTAAACCGACAAGAAAATGAATGAATGAATGAATGAATTATTTTTAAATCTTGCAAAAAAAAAAACTAGAAAAATCTTCTGCACATAATGGCGTTATGCATGTAAAAGCGCAATAATCAGAAAGAAACGGCAGAAGCACACTTTGCATTCATCAGGCATGCTGTAAGCCAAACACCATACAGATTTGGACTGCATTAAAGAGCTCTGAGTTCATCTGTAACATCAGGATCCTTGCCAACCGCTCTCAAAACAAAATGTAAAAACCCTCCTGCAATTAACTGACATGAAGACATTTTAATGTTCATGCCGCAAACATGTTTATCTCTGGCATCATGCGAAGCCACAATCTTTCTGAAATGAAGGCATCTGCTCTTACTTGCTGTAATTACAGTCCTATGATTTCCACTCTTTCAGAAACCATTAAGAAGCAATTAAGGCAACTTTTTATTTTTAGACATATATGACATGTATGTTCATGTCTGGATTTATCATAAAATTTGTCATTTATGCAAAACATATTTCAAAATATTGCAAAAGTAAGTGTTTGCATTCAGTATATGTTTTTTTAACCTCTGGAATTAATAATTATGTGTATATTAGTTATATGTTTTTATATGTGTTTATTTATGAACTGATAACTACATAAATTAACATAAATAATGCATATGCTAATCCATAAGAGGGGAATTTTGTTAAGGTGACATTGTTTAAGCACTTGCTTATGGGTGTTTTTTTTATTTCCTTTTATAAAATATACTTTGAAAGAAGAAAATCACATAAACCTGGGATTAAAGGTTTAAATTAAATTACCCATTTTTAAAATCAAGCATAATTTACTTTCATTTTTTTAGTATTTTTGTGGTGTTTTCCAGTGCAAATATTTGAATGAAAAAAAAAACTAATTAAAAAAAAAAAAAAAAAAAAACATTTGAATTAAAAGGTTTTAACTAAAGTTAAATTAAATTTTTAGGTTAAATATTTTAAATGTAATGTATATATATATATATATATATATATATATATATATATATATATATATATATATATATATATATATATATATATATATATATATATAAATATATATATATATATATATAAATATA